ACTAGCTGCCATAGAATATTAAGTAAACGGATGACAAAACGAGCTGCTATTAAAATTTAATTTGCTACCATTTGTGTCGCTTAGGTACAGCTCATCTGGAATCTTTAGTGTAATAGATCTTTTCCTTAGAACGTTTGCTCATACAAAATGCTTTGCCGTCTTATTCATTGATCTTAGCCGTAATTGAAGCTGAGTCGGAGGGCTGTTTCCGCTCAAGGCGCATTGCATAGAGAATAAATAATGAATGGAATTAAGCAAAAACCAGTTGACCTTGCTGCTCAGTTGATTTGCTGGCTTCTTGGCCAATTGCATAGCCGCATCGTGCTGCGATTAATCATCAATGAAGCGTGCAAGAATCAACTTTTTAGCTGGGCTGCAATTGTTTCGCTTTATGGCCCAGCGTCACGTGGAGCATAAACAAATGCCAAATGTGGCCCAAAGCGAGAAATACAAGCCAATATATATTCCGATATATATACATATGTATATTTATTTGAATATATGCTATATATGTACATACATATATAAACAACTACAACCGGTTCAATGTTTGCACAATTTTCTGTCGCCAGACGCTAGAAAAAAGTTTTTTTTTTCTGAATGGTTTTGTTGCTGTTGTTGTTCGCTTGTTTCTTCTATAGGGAGACCCAACAGTTGACTTTTTGTTAACGACTTTGCCGGCTGAACGTGTGGCCCATTCGTTTCTGGCTCATTTGGCAGTTAATTTGAATTTCACACACACCTCGCACACACACACTTACACACACACACACAGCAGCTAAACTTCTGCTGAAGTGATATTTTGTTTGTTATTTTTATAACCATTTAGAGGGTATACGAAATTTTTGCCAAACATGCATAGAGCTCTGCAAATATACATAAATAAATTTATGTTAGGCTTTATGTCATTTAAAATTATATGCATATTCCTGATCAATATCCGTCTACATATCTATATCACTTGATCGGTGCTCATTTGATTCCTTTGTTTATTATTGGTAGAGTGTTTCTTTGCTCAGAGTTCATTGGATCTCAGTGCCAGATTAAATAATTATAGCTATCAAGGGCTCGAATGCTTCAAAATTAATTTCTCGTATAATCAACTTAATTGGTTTTTGAGCATATCTTAATTAATGTAGACATTTACTATGTTATACCCTGTTTTTATGTACATTCATAGCGGAATTTTACCTGATGATAAATTGTACTTAACTTATTTTATTTTTGTTATGGATACAACTTTTTTATTTTTATTTATTTATTTTTATTCGACTTTTACTAGTAAATTTTTTAAATACATTTTTAAACCTAGTTTTTCTTGGCTCTTTTTTTTTAAGGTATTCAGTCTTCGTTGTTTTAAATTTTTACATAATTTTTCAAATTTTTGGCATTTTTTTTATTGCCTAAAATATTTTTAGCACATTTTTTGGTTGCCAACGGAAGTTGTTCGAGCATCAATAACTCTGGTCACTTGTTTAGGGTTATTTATATAGAGTACACACATATATACATACACACATATATTATATATGCAAACCACCTGCATTTCCAGCTCTGCCCACTTCCTGTTGCTCTTGCACTCGCATTTCGCATGTTTATGCATAAATTTCAAGCGTCGCCCTCATTAAAGCATTTGTTTGTCATATGAAGACAACAGAATTTCAAGTTAATTAAACGCACTGAGCGTGTGCTGCACTGAGAGAAAGCGCCTGGGGAAAAAGTTAAAAGCTCATTAACCAAATATTAATTTTTAATTACAAAGTTTAGTAAGCATTAAAATATATGCACAAGCTGTTTGTTTTATTATAATGTGCGCTAATAAACACAAGTGTTTTTATTTTTATTTACTTATTTTATTTATTTTTTGCTCAGAGTTATGTGTGTTTAAGGTATATGGGTCAAAAATGTACGTATATATATGCTATATATGTACATATATTTTATAATCTAGAGAATTGAACGTGCTTTCTATTGGCATTACTATATAGTTTCTTAATTTGTTAAGCAACTTTTGTTGATACTCTTTTTTGTCAGTGTATGAAATATGTTGGTCAATAAATTTTATATGTAACCTATATAAAATATATATGCTAAATTTTGTATTTAAACTCTTTTTTCTATTATATAAATAATATATGAATATTTTATTATTAAGTAAATAAGTTAAATAAATAATAATAAAATATGACTGAATTTTCTACATATTCAGAAAAGTCTTGCTTTCTTTTCTCAGTGTATAATTCGATTTCATGAAAAATTATTTATTTTCATATTTTTCTCTTGAGTAAAAAGTTAACATAAAATTTTAACTTTTTAGATTAATTTCCCATCCTCCCCTAGTTTCGCACAGTGTACTCTTGTTGTGTGCAGTAACCACATAGAGAACTGTTAGTTTTGTTAGTTTTTAGCAACTGTCACTGAGCTGAGCCGCAAAGCGCGTAACGGTAAACGCGACCCAGGCCGCGCTCTGACCCTGGCTGAGAGTTTTTAATTACACGCACATTGCTCATACGCCACGTACGGCACGCCGCTGAGATTCTTCTCTTGGGGTGGGTGAGTCTAACTGACCCTCGTTTAGTCGAAAATGAAGAAGAATTGCATGCGAATTGGTAACTGTGGCAATCCCACGGCTGCTTCTGTGTCAAGTCCGTTTTGCAACAGTTGTGTGTGTGTGTGTGTGTGTGTGTGTGTGTAGGTGTCTCTCTGCGGCCAGTAATAAGCACCTAATGGGGCTTCTTCTTCTGAGTTTTGTTTAGGGTCCACATTGTGGGCATAAACGTTCATTGCCCTCGCAACACGAATGCGCCCTCAAGCATGTCATTTCGGCTGGGCCACGCATCGCCTACTAAATTGTCGTTAATTTGTTGTTGCTAAAGTGAAATTTTTAGTTATTCGATTACGTGTTTTTTTGTTGTATTTTTTTTTATTTTTGATTGCCTTGTTTAATTTCTTCGTGACGTTAATTTCACACATGCCGCCGCGGCTGATGTCTGGCCACGTTTTGTTGACCCCAGAACTTTCCAAGCGTGTTATTTGCCGGCTTAACAGCGGCTGGCCGGCTGAGGGAGGGGCAGATGGAAAGGGGGGCGTATGCTCAATATGAGTACGTGCACAAATATAACAACAACAACAATAATCGTAATAATAATGAGCATTGCTCTTTCGTTTATTTGCACAATCTGTCGAATTGCATTTCGCTTTGCATTTGTTTGTTTATTTTGCATGGCCAACGGGAATGTAAACAGTTATCAAGGGAATGAGAGATAGCAGAAAAAGAAAAGATAGGAAAACAAAAGCCAAAGCACAAAAAATTAAGTATATTTATACAAAAATCAGAATCGGGCATAGGCTGAGGATGCCTGAAAGTTGAACTCTATAGAATGTATTGAGGAAGTGTGGGTAACTGATAAGAGGGATATTATATACCTGGTATATTTATATTATATTATAAGAAACACCTACACCTTTTATGAGCTCTTGTCATTATTTAAAATCCCAGTCCCAATTATCCCCTCCCAATTATACACCCAATACTACTGTTTTACTCCTTCACTCTCGAATCTTCTGTACATATCTTATATATGTCCAGTATGTACAAGTTGATGAATTGAAAACTAAAGGCCTTTTTATTCTCTGTAGCTCATATTATCTTTATACCCTGAACCCATTGAAAATGTTTGATTTATTTTATTACTATTTATTTTTTATTTTTATTTATTTATTATTTATTTTATTTTTTGTGGACTGTAGAGGTAATAAAGGTTTTAAGGTTTATATTATATTATATTATATTACATTATATTACATTATATTATATTATATTATATTATATTATATTATATTATATTAT